AATTTTTGTACTGTAGTTCAGAGGGAGAATATTTGCATTTATTCCCAAGATATATGTTGAATTTATGGAAAAGAGTTTTTTGATGTTTTCCTGGGATACTTGGAGCCAGAGATCCTGGCATGGCTGTTTCTTCAAGTCTCTCTCTTTTCTGGGATGTAGTATGGGTGCTTTGTATCTAGGGTAAGGAATGTTCTGGAAAAAAAAAAACAGATCTGACTTTTTCTGTGAGCCTTAAGTGATTCTTATAACTTTCTTTGAAAAACATTCTAATGGTGTTAGAGGAAGACTTCTGATAATCCATTTTCCTTATTTTTAATCCCAGGAAATAAATTGTGACTTACTTGGGGCAAGTGTTAGTTTTTTTTTTTTTTTTGAAATTTTAGATAATAGTCTGCCACTTGTTGTTTCTGGTTTTGGAGTCAGAGCAAATGCCTCGACTGGGGGTAGAAGACTTGGAAAGCTAATAATGGTTTTTCTGTGCCTCAGAGGCGATGGTGGGTAGATTCTGTTTGTTTCAGGCTGCCTTTGACACAGACACACTGCAAGGTGCTGTGTGATGCGTGGTATCAGACATCCCATCAGTATGGACTGTGCAGGGGGCTAAAAGGAAGAGGATGGTGAGTACACCCCCAACCCCACCCCAGTGGTTCCCTGGGGCCGGATTTCTGAAGTGTCCTTTTCTGCAGGTTTTAGGACTTCCTTGGCACTGCTCTCACTAGCTCTGAGAAACAAATCTGATTTCCACAGGCATGAAATCTGTTCACAAAAGCGCAGATGAGTGTGAAAGTCACACAGGGAACAGTGCCTGATGCTCACTGCCCTATGGCACTGCAGAGGAATGAGCAAAGCCTTTATGGTGGACAGTAGCAGCAAGAGGCCAGGGGAAGGATTTGCCTGTTCCCATTAATTCTGGTTTTGACAGGTTGTAGCCTTCCCTGAGCAATCCCTGAACTCAAAGCAAATCCCTTTGTTTCCTTTATACTGAGTGGCTGTGGCAAAACATGACAATAGGAATAACCCTGGCTACAATTTCTCTCTAGGTCTATATATCAGGATTCCTGCTGCTGCTTTTCCTGCTGGATAATCCAAAGACTGGTTGTTTTCCAGTTTTAGCAAGGAGGGCCTGTGACCTATAATCACAGGTCCTCTCCTCAAGAGTGGGCTTATTGACTGATTCTGAAGGTGTGTCCAGGTGGAGGATCCACTAACTCCATGTCTGGGAATTGTGGATTTAAATAAGATACAAGAATAAAAGCCAGTGTCTGTGAATGCCCGAGTCATTTCCACTCAAGAGCTATTAACAGCGATATCGGGCAGGCAGGGCTCTGTTTGTTTGTTTTTTTAATTTCATGCTAAAGCAAAGGAAGAAGAACAAAAACACTCTATTTATTTCTAATTTACAGTCTGCCTGAAAGCAGGGCATCTTGCCAAAACTCAATCCCACTCGTCTTACCTTCAAACCCTCTATGTCTTTAAAACCAGTGCTTGTGGTTTAGCACTGACATGGCAATTGGGACTGACTGATAACCTCTAGACCTCTACCCTCCCTAAAAAAAACAAAACCCATGTCACCACCTTCCATCTGAAGGGCCCTTCTTTTAGGCTTAAGTAACGCAGAGCACCGAGGTCCTGTACCTGTCTGTGTACCTGACTAGGTGTTGTTCCATTCAGATGGACTGCTGCATCTTTAGATGTCCAATGCGTGGGTATAATCTTATACACATCCTCAGTGATAGCAAGAAGGAAATGAGAAAGTGAAGCTCCCCCCCCATTTTCAAGGGATTGGAGGCTGGTATCTCAAGTCAGTTTTACAAAGGGGACCAAGCTGATTTAAGAAGGAACCCTGGAGTCTGTCCAGCCTACCAGTCTCCTATTACAGCCTCCCATCCTGAGGGCCAGTGACATGGGACCTGTCCTGCAGCACCAGGAGGAACACTCACTAGACAGTTCAAAGTGTTTCAATCTCTCCATATTCTCAGTGCACCTGTTGCTCTGATTCTGGAAACTACTCCACTGTTCCACCCAAGCCATCATGATTTGTCTTTGTAGGTAATTAGCAGGAGCAATCTAAAGGTCAAGGCTCTTCCCCAGGCCAACTGAGGTAAGGAGCCCCTTCCTGCCCTCTGCCACTCTCCCTTCTCTGCTGTCACTGATTTTCCATAGCCTTTACCTTCCTGAGGAGATAAAATCAAGTGGCCTCAGCCAAGCTTTTTATCCAGATGTTACTTCCTGGCTCCCACAGCAGGAAACCCTTTCTGGGTTTTTATGATCTCCCAGTTTTGGCAAACAAGACACAGAAAGAAGAGCTATACTTGGGTGTTAGGTACTTTGTGAATTCAGCAAAGCATCTGTCCCCCTCTTTTTTTTTATTTTTCCAAAGATTGTAAAGAAGGTGACTTAAAAAAATGTTCTAATTAGTTATACATGACAGTAGACTGCATTTTGACACATCATACACAAATGGAGCATAACTTCTCATTCCTCTGGCTGTACATGGTGGTCACCACTCAGAAGTTTCTTTTTCTCAGTACATGCTCTCTGATCCCTAAGGCATTACAGTTTCAGGAAAATAAAACAAAACAAAACACCTTTTTCACTTTAAAAGCCCCAGCTCCTTAGTTTGCCCTGCAGCCTGCTGGGATACTCCCTGGAGAGAGGAAAGAAATAAAACAGAGTACTGGCCCTTGCAGAATTTTCCCATAGACTTTGGAGTTGCATTATTCTAATGGGATGATGTAAGACTCCAGGCTTGAACTGGATTGAGCAGAGGTTTGGGGCAGGGACACCTTGCTCTTGATTTCCTCCAGAAATGGCAGGTTTGTGCACAGGGAGTTTGACTGTAGATGAGGGTCAAGTGCTCTTTTTTATTGACCTTGAGCAGCACACGTCTACTTGGCCAGTTGTCTCCTAGGTGTGGTGAGAGATACTGGGGAAAAAAGCTGGGATGTGGTCCCTGTCTTCAGATAGCTTACAGTCCCATTGGGAATCCATCAGAATAAAACAAAAACAAGTCATATAGGCCAGGGGTATTCAAGTATCATGTAGAGGTTCTAAGATGGAGAGACAAGGGTTAGGGGTGGGTGGGGAAGAGGAGAAAAGAGAAACTCCTGCAGATCTTGCAGGGTAGCCAGGAAGAGGAGTGGACAATTAGGTGAGGGAAGTGAGGGCAGTGATCCAGAGAAGAAGCACTGCCCTGTCCCCATCACCGTCCTTCAGGATGGAGTATGGAGTCAAGTGTGGGTAAACTCATTGGAGCTCCAGTTTTAACAAGAGCAGGATATTCAGTAATTCTTAGGGCCAGGACTGGCAAAATCTGAAAAGGGACAGCAGGTAAGTATTTGACACATCAGAGGCCAAGAGGCAGAATTGATGCTGTTATACAGTTATTTATATAACCATTTAAAATGTTGCTGGGTATAGTGGCACGTGCCTGAAATCCCAGTTACTCCAGAGGCCGAGACAGGAGAATTACAAGTTTGAAGCCAGCCTCAGCAACTCAGTGAGGCCTTAAGCAACTTTGTGAGACTCTGCCTCAAACAAAAACAAAAAAGGACTGGGAGTGTAGCTGAGTGGTTAAGTCCTTGGGTTCAATCCCCAGTAATAAGACAAATAAATAAACAAACAAAAACAAAAGTGAAAAAAATGTAACCCTTAAAAAGTTTATAAAACTATCCATATTCAAGAGCTGTCCGTCACCTCTGTCACGTCCGTTTATCCGTCTCACAGAGTGGTGCCTCCTTGGTCATGTTTGGGAAGCTCTGATCCATCTTTGATTTGATTTTACTCAATTCAACTTGTATCTATTTGCAAATGCCAACCCTTGTTTTGGGGAGGAAATCTTATAGCATCATTTTTTATATGATTTTCCCAGGGAATACTTTATAAGGAATATTTAGCTTTCTTTTATCCATCTTAAAAAAAAATGAGAGTTTCCTGCATGGCTATGGGATAGGATACTCGATTTCTAGGAAGGAAGAAGATGTCCAAATTGAAAATTCTTCCTGGACAGTGTTGGCTCTGAGTTGTTAATAGAAGTGGCAGTCTGGGCCACTCCTCCTCCTTTGGTCTCTAAGGCTTTTCCTGGACACGGTATTGCATAGGCACATGGAGGATGCACTTCACCTGCCCCTCTTTGCCTGGTGCTTTTTTTTTCTTTTTTTTGGCCGTAGAGAGAGACCTCAGGAAGTCACAGCTTCTGTGTGTACATAGTGTGAACCTGTCCAGCAGCCTGCATGGATAGTAGCAGCATGGTCCAGCCTAGAGACAGGCCTCCAGACAGAGCATGATAGTCATTACCATCCCTTAAATTGATGTTTATTTTCTAATGTGAAACTATGCACCATGTGTTAATCTGGTATTTCCCACTCATTTTACAGATTAGCCAACTGTGGCCCACAGGGGTGATTTATCCAAGGCCACAACCCCAGTTCAATAAAGTAGGATTGCAATCATTTCCCCTGATTTCGAGAGTGGAT